AGGGGTTCCGCTCTGGGTACCGGCAAAAATAACGCAGGTAACGGGGGCCCGGTCGTACCGACTACAAACAGACGACGGAAGAAGCTGGAAACAACACATCAACCAACTAAGGTAGAGAACAACCACCGACAACATGGACAGCACACAAACACCACAAGCAAACACTAATAAAGAAACCGGGGGGGGGGAATCCCAAACAATAAGCAAAGAGAGGAAGAAAACCCCAAAACACAACCCAAACACCCCCAATCCAAAATAAATACTCACCGGTAGACGACGGCGACAGAAAGGGGCTCTCGGCGGATGAACAACAGGGAGCGTCACCTGGAAGGAGCAGCCAAGCCAGCTCAACCAGCCCGGAAAGACCAGGCGGGAACAGCGGAGCCAACAACTCGACCGACCCGGGTAGACCGGGTGGGAGTTGCAGCGATAGGCCCGGCTCACCCTTCCAGGAGGTTTCATCAAGGAGGACAAGAGCGACAAGGAATCCACCCGAACCGGCCAACAACCAAACAACAACTGCGCTGCGCATCTCAAGTAGGCAAGTACGTAGCCCCGCCTACCTGCGCAACTACATCATGTAGGACTGAACCAAGAGGGGAGGGGTGTTCTGTATTAACATACTCCAAATACTGACTCCTGATTGGCCCACGCAAACAGCATTGTGATTGGTCCACTGAACGGCAGTGATTGTTCCGCTAAGAATCAACCGCGATTGGCTGAGCCGATCGCGGGAGATTCAAAGACCTGTCATTGGCCGGCGAGCTGCGAGCAATCCCTATATGAAGGGCTGCCGCAGCTCCAAGATCTTGTACAGATCTATATGTGAAATAAAGAGCTTGAAGTATACTGGTCTCCGGTCTCTTTCGTACCCGATCTAACAGAAACAGACAAGCAAAGAGCTTGGAAGCCTCTCTGACTCCGTTAGGACCCAGCTTCTGTTGTGACTGTTTCTGCTTTAGCTACTTTTCTTCAATTCCTCAAGGCAAAAAACTGCAGAAAGGTTTTCTGTGTGCTTGCTTCCTTCCTTTCTTCTGTTCTTCAATCTGGAGTCAAAAGCATCTTTCAGTTTTTCTATTTCCATTTTTGTATATCCTAATATACACTGCTCAAAAAAATAAAGGGAACACTTAAACAACACAATGTAACTCCAAGTCAACCACACTTCTGTGAAATCAAACTGTCCACTTAGGTAGCAACACTGATTGACAATCAGTTTCACATGCTGTTGTGCAAATGGAATAGACAACAGGTGGAAAGCAGAGGCAGTTAGCAAGACATCCCCAATAAAGCAGTGGTTCTGCAGGTGGTGACCACAGACCACTTTTCAGTTCCTATGCTTCCTCAGCATTCACTTTTGAATGTTGGCAGTGCTTTCACTCTAATGGTAGCATGAGATGGAGTCTACAACCCACACAAGTGGCTCAGGTAGTGCAGCTCATCCAGGATGGCACATCAATGCGAGCTGTGGCAAGGTTTGCTGTGTCTGTCAGCGTAGTGTCCAGAGCATGGAGGACCTACCAGGAGACAGGCCAGTACATCAGGAGACATGGAGGAGGCCATAGGAGGGCAACAACCCAGCATCAGGACCGCTACCTCTGCCTTTGTGCAAGGAGGGACAGGAGGAGCACTGCCAGAGCCCTGCAAAATGACCTCCCGAGGGCCACAAATGTGCATGTGGCTGCTCAAACGGTCAGAAACAGACTCCATGAGGGTGGTATGAGGGCCCGATGTCCACAGGTGTGGGTTGTGCTTACAGCCCAACACCATGCAGGATGTTTGGCATTTGCCAGAGAACACCAAGATTGGCAAATTTGCCACTGGCGCCCTGTGCTCTTCACAGATGAAAGTAGGTTCACACTGAACACATGTGACAGACGTGACAGGGTCTGGAGACGCCATGGAGAACGTTCTGCTGCCTGCAACATCCTCCAGCATGACCAGTTTGGCAGTGGGTCAATAATGGTGTGGGGTGGCATTTCTTTAGGGGGCCGCACAGCCCTCCATGTGCTTGCCAGAAGTAGCCTGACTGCCATTAGGTACCGAGATGAGATCCTCAGACCCCTTGTGAGACCAGATGCTGGTGCGGTTGGCCCTGGGTTCCTCCTAATGAATGACAATGCTAGACCTCATGTGGCTGTAGTGTGTCAGCAGTTCCTGCAAGACGAAGGCATTGATGCTATGGACTGGCCCGCCCGTTTCCCAGACCTGAATCCAATTGAGCACATCTGGGACATCATGTCTTGCTCCATCCACCAATGCCACATTGCACCAGACTGTCCAGGAGTTGGAGGATGCTTTAGTGCAGGTGTGGGAGGAGATCCCTCAGGATCCGACACCTCATCAGGAGCATACCCAGGCATTGTAGGGAGGTCATACAGGCACGTGGAGGCCACACATACTACTGAGCCTCATTTTGACTTGCTTTGAGGACATTACATCAAGTTGGATCAGCCTGTAATGTTTTTTTCCACTTTAATTTTGAGTATAACTCCAAATCCAGACCTCCATGGATTGCTAAATTTGATTTCCATTGATAATTTTTGTGTGATTTTGTTGTCAGCACATTCTACTATGTAATGAACAAAGTATTTAATGAGAATATTTCATTCATTCAGATCTAGGATGTCTTATTTTTGTGTTCCCTTTATTTTTTTGAGCAGTGTATAGTCTCTCAAGTTTATTTCACACAGCTTTGTAGTTTCCTCCTTTTCTCCTTGTTCTCTTTGTTGTGTCATCTGCTCTATCTCATCTTCTAAGCTCATAGTTATCTCTCTTGTTTCCTGGGTTTTATTATCTTGCTTCATTGTTTTTTGTTGCTCATTTCCAGTCTTTCTGGTTATATCATGCAATAAGTCCTTTATCTCCCTGGAATTCCTCATCATCATGTCGTAGATGTTTTGGAGTGACATCATAATTTCTCTTTGTGTTTCCAATTCTTCCTGATGGGCCATCTTGCCTTGTTAAGTCCAAGTAGTATTTCAATGTTCTGTTGGTAATCTTCACTGCTCCAGCGTCTATTCTTTTTGACTTCCCAAAGCCAGCAGGTTACTTAATCTTAGTATTGTCCATCAGGGAATACAATAACTATAGTTCTTTATATCACACAGTCAATGAAATCCATTTGTACAATCCAGGGGATTTTCCCAATAATTCTTAGATCCACCTTTTAATTTGCTAGTTAGCTCCCATATTCAAAAGTCATTCCATTAATTATCCTCCCAGTTTTTAAGGTTGATTCTCTGGTCATCATAAAGTAGATAAGTATAGAGCAGTAAATAGTACAGCAGACCTCCAGGTCTTACTCTTCCTTATCAAGATTCCTAGGTTGCTATCATGCTTGGAGTATAAGAATATATCCATTCACCAGTGGATGGCACCTTCAGGTTGAAAATCATTGTTAAAATCCACTATAAAAGTATTATTTCAAATTGCTTCAAACAAAATTTCCAAAAGCCAGTCAAATGTCCAGCATTTTAAAATATCTATTGTAGGTCTTGCCAGAAAGATTTAAACATCTAGTCTTTCAATATTTTAAGATAAATATTTTAAGTCATTTCCTGCCAATGTGCAGTGTTTCTCTGCCTCTCGCCGCTAGAAAGCACTCCAGAGAGCCTCCTTTTCAGGATTAATTTTCTTTTAGGGTAAATCCTAGATAAAATTCAGAAGTCACCTCACCCAGCACCTATCACTGTCTATTCACTCCACTCCTACACAATCTTAGTTTCTGTGGCTGCTCCAGCTTTGCGGTGGCCCTTTTGGTCGCCTCGTCTTTTTCCTTGGCAAAGAGGGAAAAACCCTGGGTCCAGCAGGAAAGCCGCCACTCTCCATGACCAGCAGGGTGCCCCTCCTTATCTGTCACCCCTGCAGGGTGACTTTAGCGCCTGGGGGGTTCTCCGATGAAGAGGATTCGGCATGGGGATGCAGAACCCTGCGCCGATCACGCCACAACATCAAACCATAAGTCCTCAACTATCCACCCATTCTGTGATCACCTGAAGAATACAAAATCTATTTAAAATAGTTCTTCCCATTTTTTCTACCAAAACATGTGACAGACAGAGGGGCATATGTTAAAGTGGAATCTGCCTCTTCTCCACAACATGATAGGTTTCAGACAGCTTGGGAGATAGGTATCAGATAACGAAGTGGAATCTGCTTTTTAGGCAAGTTGTTAAGTGCAAGTTGTTAGCCATGAGTCATCCTTGCCTCTCTGAGATTTAACTAGAAAAAGGGTCTTCCATCACCATTTCTCTTTGAATCCTTGTAAGCCTCAGAAGCCTGGGTTTAGCAGGGGTAGCAAGAGAAATCATGAAGGATTGTTTTTTTGCTTTAAGGGGAGAGTTCAGCTTTAAAGAACAGACTTTCCCATTTCTAAAAGTAGAATGTCTCTGAAAAATACTCAGCAAAGGGAAAGGGGTACATCCAGATTAATTAGTGACCAATAGGAGCTTAGCCTTGCCCTGATCATCTCATTACTGCCATTGTTGAAGAGGCATCCTATATTGTAGAGCAAGACTTATATTCAAAGAAGAGGGAAAAGACTATTTTTAAACCAGAACAGCTAATGTAAGCTGCCCTTGCAGAGGGTTAAGAGTGAAATGAAAGCAACATCATGAGGTTATATTCTCTGAAAAAAAAGCAGTTAGTGAGATCTGATTTGATCTTTACTTTGGAGTTTATAGTGATATATATAATCACAGAAATTAATACCGGTATTGATATTGATATTCATGGGAAATCTTTTCTGTTGACTTCTGAGATCACAAAAATACATAGAATGGCTTTCTGTTAGTCTCTCTGTTCCTAAAGTTAATTTCTAATCTGAGAACTCAGATGAAGATTCTAGATACTTCTCTCACTCTGGAAAACAGTTTAGGTGAAGATGATTTCAAAATAGATATTTAAAAATATACATTTCTAAATTTAGCACCTATTTTTTATCCATGTATTTTTCTTACACTAAAATCTATAAAGATATAGGGATAGGTAATACATACGCTTTTCTTATACAGCAGTGTGCAGCTGACAATACTGTGCGGTTATTAATTAAAGTTCCACCACATAAATGCAAAAATCCTCCACCATGGTTATATGTTTGAAGGCTAACTTGCCATGGCCATGCCCCCTCCTCAGATTCATGTCCACCTACAATCCGACTCCCTGGTATTTCTGATATAGCAGGCCTTATTCCGCATTCTAGAAATGAAATCAGAATTGTTAGATGTGAGTTTATAAATGCAAACTTTAGGGTTTCTCTGAATAAAGAATACTTTTCAATTGGCATTTTTTCTCATAAATCTATACAGTACACACATCTACATGCATACATAGTCAAGATCAGACTGATCATTTGACTGATCATTTGAAGATCATTTGACTGATAAGGCTTGTGCCTTCAGCTGGGGGTTAAACTAAAAGACACTGAGGTTACTTCCAGCCCACTGATTCTATTAAGGTCCAACTTAAGCTAAAAAAGTAAAGTCAGCCAGTTTCCAAATACGTGCCTGAACGTATACCGTATATCCACTTCAGCGGACAGCGAGCGCTTGGCGCCTATACACCTTCCCAAGGCTCCTGAAAGGGCCTGCGGGCGCCGTACCCAGGCTCGTTCGCTGGCCTCGCCCCGAAGTACAAGCCGAACCTGCCTAGGCTAAGCGCCAACCCAACCCTCTACCGAAGGCGGGAGAAGGTCGCCTCACCGCTTCCATCCTTCGCAAGGGAAGAGGTCACGTAGAACAGCGCCAGGGAAAAGGGGGAAACGACAGCGAGGAGAGAACTCCGCTCAATCATCCTCCCAAGGAAGAAAAATGGCGGTCTCTTTTCCCGCTCACCGTCCGCAGCGGAGGCTGCAAGGAGCCGGTGAGGCGGTTGAACCAGGCTTAGGGAAGTGGTTCGCGCGCCCTCCCGTAATTGTTGGAGCCTCGGACGGGCTTCGCCGACATGCGAAATGTCCGGGTTTTGGACTAGAGGAAGAGAAAGGGAGGTTTTAATCCTCTTCCCTGCGGTTATTTATCAATTGTCGGGATGCGATTCTAATCCGCGTGAAGTAATCGATTTATATACGCCGTTTATCTTCTTGTATCTTTTTAATAGGCATGAAATTGGTGAAATAAGACTTATGGAATGGAATTGGAAAAGAAACACGAGGAAAGAGACCGAGTTATAGGGATCCATGATAGACGTTTAATTTTTGCCTCATTTATGGCCCGACTGAAGCCCGTTAGCAGACAACTCTTGTGTCAGACAATCAAGTGCAGAGAAATCTTCTGTCAGACTAGGGGTCTGCTTCATGTAAGACGCATTTCTATATTATGAAGGAAAAGGAAGCGTGACAGATACCTTAATGCATATATAAGAAGGGTAAACAAATAAATGTATTTATAGCTTAGACTTATATTTGGTCTTTAATTCAGGAACTTGATGCAATGTGGTAGTGCTCCCTCCTCCCATTTTCCTCCTCATCACAACCCTGCACAGCAACCTTTGGTTTGGCTGAGGGTAAGTGATGGCTTCAAACTCACCCACTGAGCTACTATGGCTCAGAGTGAACTGGAACCTGCGTCTCCAGGTGCCAGTCTGATACCTTAACCATGACATCACATTCTCATTCCCTCTTCTGGACAACTGAATACACCCATTAAACATTCTGAATAAATGTGCATATTACTTAACTGAAGACTATGCTTGAGAGAGAAGAACAATGTAAAGGTATTTTTACACCAAGATCAGTTACTAGTTATCACCACAACTCTCTTGACAACAGTACAGAAGTGGCTTGCTATTGTTTTCCTCCAGATGTTTTTCCTGAAGAGTAGATCTGGCCTTGGGAAGAGCGCAGTGAACTGTTAAGGGAGAAGAACGCAGCAACTCACTCATTTGGAGGGAAGTAGAGAAACAAACTCAAAATAACCCCACTTTGATTTTGTTTGATATAATATGGGGCAGAAAGAAACACAGAGGCTTCAACAATAAAAAGCATTCATAGAGATTATTACAAATGAAAATACAGGCTTTAATTTATCGATGAGCAACTTAAAATTACAAACTATAGTTAAATAATATTTTTTTTCAGAAATAATGAGATTGTAGTATTTAAAGCACATCAAAAAGCCACTTCATACAATTAGTTGGAAAACGTTCCACACCACAAGCAAGAAAAGAACCTGCTGAATGCTAACAGTGTTGGCTTCGCTTAGTTGTCTCCTCACCCAGAACATGTACTTAGGCAAATTAGTGTAAACTCCTGGAAATTTTGGTCGGCCGCAGCCAATACCATAGCTGGTGATTCCTACAAAGTAGTATTTAGAATCTGATAAATAGCATACCAGAGGTCCACCACTATCTCCCTGAAAAATGAAAAAGATAACAATGAGTAGTGACTCATAGTATTTAAAAGCATGCATGCATCAAGGCTATCTCTCCTCTTATTTAGTTTTCTAGTGAACATACAGCAGCCCAAAATCTAGTGAAATTTTTTTTACCTGAGCTTCTTGCAATGTGAGGCTGCCTTTACCTGTAAGGAAAATGATAGCTTTTAGTTTATTTCTTTCTAATCTGAAACAAGAACTATAAAAATGCTGAATTGGCAGTTCTTTAAAAAAAAAAAAACAGATCCATCTTTCAGTTATACAGTGTGTCAACTGGGTATATATATCTTGTGCAAATGTTTATATTTTGTATACATTTCTTTCTCAGATTACATTCATGTTAGAAACTACTCAACCTTATATATCTCATCATTATAACAATATCATTTAATGTCTTGCTTTATTTTCCAACCATTTATAAAATAAACCCCATATCATATAATATTCTGCTTCTTGTTCTTTAATTGCCAATGTTAATCTACTAATTTCTGTACATTCCAATATTTTCATAATCACCTCCTCCTGTATCGGAATCTTTTCATTTTTCCAGTTTTGAGCAAATACAATTCTAGCTGCTATTAATATATATATGATTAAATATGTTTTTTCTTTACTATAATTTTCTGGTAAAATCCCCAATAAAAATAGCTCAGGTTTTAAATCTATATGTTGTTTTGTCATCTTTTCCAACCGTGTATGTATTTTTGTCTAATATCTTTTAGCTTCTGTATATGTCCACCACATATGGTAGTATGTTCCAGGTGTCTGGTGACATTTCCAACGTTTCGCTGATTTGTCTTTAAACATCTTTGACAGTCTTTCTGGGCAAAATGCCATCTATAAAACATCTTATACAAATTTTCTTTATAAGCTGTTGACATTGTTAATTTATAGTTTCCATCCCATAGTTTCTACCATTTATCCAACTCTGTCCCATAACCCAAATTCCCCGCCCCCAGGCTATCATCATCTCCTTTACTTGTTCTTATTTCATTCCTAATAAGTAACCATACAATTTCTTAATCATCTTATCTCTGTTCCTGTTCAAATTTTATCTAATTCAGTCCATTCATTATAAAACCCCTCCACTTTAACATCTTTTTCATATCTAGAATGTATTTGCATATATGAATACCAGTTCATATCAGTCCCTTGTTTATTCAATTCTTGTTGTGTTTTGAGTTCACTTTCATTTAAAACATCTTTATATCTAACAATATGTCCCATTTTAAAAACATTTGGATATATAAACTCCTTCGTTGATAACCAGACTGGTATTTTCATATAATGTTGCTCCCTTATTTTCTCCCATGTTAACAATAAAGCATCTCTTATATAAGCTCTTTGAAAGTAACCATGTATCTCATTTTTCCCATACCATAAAAAAGTATACCAACCCAATTATAAATCATGTCCCTCCAATGTCAACAGCCTTGTATTTCTTAATACAATCCATTCTTTCATCCATGTCAATACCACGGCCTGACAATAAAATTCTCAATTGGGTAGTCCAAATCCTCCTCCTGTAACAATTTTAATTTAATCCTTGCTTTTTTTTCTTGCCATATATATTTAAAAATTATTTTATTTAAATCATCAAATAATTTTTTTCCAATTTTATTGGAATTGTTTGGAACAAATATTGTACTCTTGGTAATATATTCATTTTAATTGTCGCTATTCTCCCTATTAGTGATAGTTGTAGATTTTTTCAGGTCTATCTTAATCTATTGTTTATTATAGACTAAAACAATAGATTAAGATAGACCTGAAAAAATTAACAGCAAGATTGGGACAATTAAAGTTATCTTCTTTAATTGTCCCAATCTTGCTGTTAATTGGATCCCCAAATATTTCACTTTTTTTGTGATCTGGATATCTAATCTGTCAATTATCTTTTTTGCTTTTTTGTAATATTCTTCACTAATATCTTTGTTCCTTATTTATTTTCAATCCCACAATTTCCTCATATTCTTCTATCTTTTCTATCAATTTGGGTCCTGTTTCTAACGGTTCTTCTAGTACAGTGGTTCTCAATGTGGGCGGTACTGCCCCCCGGGGGGGGGTGGAATGCCTTAGGGGGCACTAAGAAGCAAGGGGGCTGGCAGGGGGGCACTAAGAGGCAGCAGGGGGTCGTTTGAGGTGCTGGCCCTGCAGGCTCATTGACTGCCGGCTATGCAGCCCATTGACTGTTTCATAGCTCCGTAGCCGGCAGAACCCATGCACAATGAGCCTTGCCAAGCCTGGTGGGGAGAGAGGTGGGAGGTGGTGGAAAGAGGGCACCTTAGCTTGCAGGCTGCCCTCTTCAGTGGAAGCGGCGGAGGCATGCCAGAAGGCCTGAAAGCAAACCCTCCCAAGGCGCACAGTGGAAAGGGTGGGTGATCTGACGTTAGGGTCCCCTTCCCTGGAGGAGAACAAGGGAGCGTGCAGCACCTAGCTGGCCTCCACCTCTCCAGCCAGCCGGGCTTGTGCTCAGGATGCGGGTGGGTGTAGCTGCAGCTCTCCAAGGCACGTGGCTCGGTTCAGTTCGGCTCTATGTGGCCGCCCCAACCTAGAACCTAGGCTCCCTCTGCAGCCCGGTTCTTCTGACCAAGTCCTGCGCTTGCTTGCTTGCTTTCCAAGCGATCATTACCTCTGCCTCCCCTCCGCCAGTCTGGACTGCTTCCTCATGCCTTCCTCCTCCCAGGCGGAGTGTAAAGATGGTCAGAGCGCTTCCCCGAAGTTGGGAGTCTCTGAGTGCGTACAGAGTACCTCCCCTTGCTTGGCCCAATGGAAGTGGACCTTGGGTTGAAGCAAAGAGAGTGAAGTCAGCCGCATCACTGCCCCAGGGAGGTTGGCATTGCAAAATTGGATGCCAAAGAAAGAACTTGGGCAGGAGAAGGGGCAGAGGGGCAGCTGCATTAAGGAGCAGGAAGATCTTAGCCATGGTTTATTGACTAAGCCGGAATCAAACAGCATGCTAAACTCTAAACCAGAATGGCTGGGTTGATATATTCAGCCCGTGTTTCTCAACCTTGGCAACTTGTGTGGACTTCAATTTCCACTCTGCCTTTGCTCTACTTTCCCAAAGTGCCGCTGCTGTCACATTCTTTCTGTCTGTCTGTCCATACATACATACACGCATACATCTAAAAGGTCTGCCTGTCTGACTGACTGCCTTCCTGCCTACCTACCTACCCACCTGCCTGCCTGTCTTTCTGTCTACCTACCTACCTACCTACCTACCTACCAATCTACCTTCCTATCCATCCATTCATCCAAAAGGTCTGCCTATCTACCTACCTACCTACCTACCTACCTACCTATCTATCTATCTATCTATCTATCTACCTACCTATCTATCTATCTACCTACCTACCTATCTACCAATCTTCCTCTCTCTCTCTCTCTCTCTCTCTCTCTCTCTCCATCCATCCATCCATCCATGTTCAAAGTGCCAGCCACGCAGGCACATTGGGAAAATAGAGCAAAGCCAGTCTGGGATGGAGGAAGGGGGAGACAGAGAGAGAGAGAGAGAGAGAGAGAGAGAGAGAGAGAGAGAGAGCTGATGCATCAGATTGAAATGAGGCCTGGTTTAGAGGCCCTTTTCCACATTGAAACATCTTTGCCAGCACATTGAAACATCTTTGGCTTCTATTAAAGGTTTTGTGGACGAAACATGGTCAAGACTATCAGGAAGCTCTCACATTTTGTTGAGGCTTTAAACAGGATCCATTAGACCAGATCTCCACCCTAAAAAATTACTTTTCTCCAATGTATTACAGTGCCAATTCTGAAGAAGGCAAAATCAAAATGTACTGGTAAATTACAAGGAGAACACACACACACACACACACACACACTCCCTTCTAACTCTGCTGGAGCAGGTGATTGGACTAGAATAGATATCGCATTATCTTTCTCCTCCCTCCCTCCTTCTTTATTTCTTTTTCTTTCTGTCCCTTTCTTCCATCCCCCCTTTCTTTGTCCCCTTTTCTTTCTTTCCCTTTTCTCTTTCTTTTCTTCTCTCTTTCTCTCTCTCTCTTTTCTCTCTCTCTCTCTTTCCCTCTCTCAGGCTCACCCCATTGACTTGACTTGCTTGGGAAGGTCTCTCCAGTGCAGTGGGCTCAATGGGGTGGACCTGCAGGTCTGGCACCTAGAATGTGGCAGTGGCAGCATGTTTGAAAAGTAGAGCAAAGCCAGAGGTCAGTAATTTTTGCTGCAAAGAATCACAAAAGCTTCTGGGTTGTGCACAAGAAGGGACACAAGTGTCAATGCAATTCAGCAACATAAAGAGATATAAATAAAAAAATCAAAAATTGGCAGAGCATCACTGATTAGATTTTATTCACTACTAGAATCTAATCAGAGATGCTTTGCCGATTCTAGTCCAATGACCTGCTTCAGCAGGGTTAGAAGGGAATGTGTGTATGTGTGTATGTGTGTGCATGGCTGTCAAAACTCCAAAAACAGGTCAAGTATCTCTGGAGAGGCCAGTCATAAATTAGAACACTTTCTAAACAAATGGCCATTAAGTGAGGACCACTTGTTTGCCAGACACCTGGCCACCAAACCACACTTACCCAGTCATGTGACCAGCAAGCCATGCCCAGCCAGCAAGCCACGCCAGCCAGTCACATGACCAGCAAGCCACACCCACCCAGTCACATGACCAGCAAGCAATGGCCACCCAGTCACGTGACCAAGCCACACCTTCAAATTAGGCCACACCCATAGAAATTGGAATCCCCCCCCTGGGTGGGGGGCACCGAGGATGAGTTTGTAGCACCAAGGGGCGGTGAACTGAAAAAGTTTGGGAACCACTGTTCTAGTATAAAAACCAGATATCTGCAAATGCCTGCAATTTGTACTCCTCCTTTTTTATATCCATACCCTTTATTTCCTTATTTTTTCTAATATTTCTATTTAACATTTCTAAAGTCAGTACAAATAGCAATGATGACAAAGGCATCCTTGACTAGTTCTTTTCTTAATGTTAACATTTCCTGTCATATCACCATTTACCATTATTTTTGCTGTTAGTTTATAATAAATTGCCTTAATCATTTTGATAAACCTTTCTCCCAAATCCATTCCTTCCATTTGCGCCAACATAAATTGCGAGTTCACATTGTCAAACGCTTTCTGTGCATCTAAGAATACCAATGCCGTCTGCTTTTCTGGATGTGCTTCATCATATTCCAATGTATTCAATATTGTCCTCATATTATCTTTTATTTGTCTCTTAGGCAAGAAGCCATTTTGATCCTCATGTATAAAATGATTTAAGAATCTCTTTAATCTTTCTGCCATAGAAGCAAATATTTTATAATCAGCATTCAACAAGGATATTGGTCTGTAGTTTTTTTTTAATCTGTTGTAGATCAGAGTTTTCTTTCGGTATAAGAGTACTGTAAACTTCCATCCATGAATTAGGTACTTTGGCTTTTATCTATACTTCATTTGATACCTGTAGCATTGTATTGCAAAGAGAGTTTTATATAGTTTTATATATTTATTTTAAATGTTTTATAAGGTTCTGCTGGTAGCCCATTCTGCTGGGGCCAGAAGCTTTCCATTATTTTGTCTGTTTAATGCTTCAGTTAGTTCCATCATGGTTATTTTTTCTTCGAACATTAATTTAATTTCTTCCGATATTTTAGGTAGTTCTGCTTCTTTCAAATATTGTTTAACTTTCTCTTCTGTAATTATCTCTTGATCATATAGTTTCTCACAATACTTTTGAGTTATTTCATTCTTTTCTTCGTTTCTATGGCAGACAATTCCATTATCATCTATTAATTGTATTATCCTTTTCTGATCTTTTTCTTTTTCAGTCTATATGCTAACCATCTTCCTGATGCTGAATTGGCAGTTCTTGATCTAACGCTAACACACCAGTCCAAATATCCTGCGCCATTGGGAAGACCTATAGTAATTGTCACAAGTATTATGTTTAGAGATGTGCCAAATTCTAATTGCCAGTTATTGCCTGCAGATTAAAATGGCAAGATTGGGAGAATATCATTTAACCTTGAATATGCCTCATTATATCTTCTAATGTGTAACTTTTAATTCAGAAATCCATGTTTGAACAATATTCTGTAACACAGGAATTTTCATACATACACACATATACAGAAAGTTGATCATGCATCACCCTCCCTTCCAAACGTTAGGCACTGTCCTTCATGTCCTTTCTCTTTTGGAGAATCAGAAATCTCAGCTATTTTACTGAGCTCTTCAGCTCTATCTATAAAGACCATGAATTTCTTGTACTGTACATGTACATTATACATACTATACTGGAAGTGATGGGCTGGAAAGTACAGACTTTTTTCCATATTGATTATCTTTTACCATCTATGTAAGTTGTCTGATGAACTTCAACAATTAACCCAATCATGTTCAGAATACAGCAACTCCAGGTCAATCTCTCTCACTTTATCAGGCAACCCCCTTCATATACTACATAGTTCAGCTTTCCAAGTGGGCTTATTTTGACAGTGGGTTTGTAATCTTTTCAAAGAACACTAAAGTCACACTCAAAACTATAGGAAAGCTGAAGGCAGGCTGTCTAGTAAAAGCTTTTGTTACCCTTTCTCACCCTGTGGATCAACTAGTTAGCATATTTGAGGAGGCTCCATGTTTTAACAATTGGCTAAACTTGCAAATGTTCTGATTGGTGGGTTTTTCTTTTTGGTGATATTTAGAAAAAGGGTGGATAGTTTATAAAATTTAATGAAAGGTTTGGATTAAAATGTCCTGTACACCTAAAATTAGGAAGCCATCTGGAGACAAACCAGCACAGAAGCCCAAGATATGGGTTGGCAATGAGGACAGGTTTTTTTTTTATGGTATCATTTTTCTTTTGGCTCAAGGCTCAAGGCTAAGTGAATTACTGTATGAAGAGAAAGAATGATGAGGCAGTCATTGTTTAGCTACAATTGGTCATTAAGCAAAGTGGTCTCTAAGTAAAACTACAATTGTGCTTATGATTTTGAGTGGACAAATAGCTGTCCAATCTTTTCTTGAAGGCCTCCAGTGACAGAGCACCTACAACTCTGGGAGGCAAGCTATTCCATTGAATAATTGTTCTTCATGTCAGGAATTTTTTTCCTTAGTTCCAGATTGGATCCTTCTTATAACGAACATCCACTTTTCTTCTTGCCCTGTCCTCAGATGCTGTGCAGAGTAAGATGACTCCCTCTTCCCTGTATCTACCTCAGGAAGACAGCTATCATGTCATGACTAATCTTCTCTTCATTAGGCTAGATTTACTATATTTAGAGGTTAGATTTACCTAGTTCCCTTAAATATTCATCATACAATTTAGCTTCTAGATCCCTTCTCATCTTTGTTGCTCTTCTCTGCACTAGTGTCTCAGCATCTTTTTTGTATCGTGGTAACCAAAACTGGATGCAGTATTCCAAGTGCAATATAAAAAGGTGCTATCACTTCTTGTGATCTTGATGCTGTCCTTCGGTTGATGCAGCCTGGGATTGTATTGGCTTTTTTGGCAGCTGCAGCACACTGCTGGGTCAAAGTTAAGTGATAATTCACTAGGATACCAAGATCTTTCTTGCAATTATTGTTGTTGAGCCAGGTACCACCTATTCTATAGCTATGCATTTAGTTTTATCTGCCTAGGTGCAGGGCCTTGCTTTTCTCACCATGGAATTGCATCTCATTGGGTAGGGCCCAATGCTTAAGTCTGTCAAGATCCTTCTGAATCATGAATCTATCTTCCAAGGTGTTGTCAATTTTCCTCACACCCCAAGGTTGGTGTTATCTGCAAATTTTATGAGTTTGCCTTCTATACCTCATCTAGATCATTTATGAAGATGTTGAAGAACATTGGACCCAAGACAGAATTTTGAGGTACCCTACTGCATGCTTCCCTCCATGTAGATGTAATTCCTTTAAGAACCATACACTGAGTGTGGTTGGTCAGCCAGCTGCAAATCCATTTGGTAGTAGTAGTCTATTCCACAATGTTCTATCTTATCAAGATGAAGATTGTGGTTTATTTTGCCAAATGCCTTACTGAAGTCCAAGTAAATTATATCCACAGCATTTCTCTGATCCACTAATTTAGTTACTTTATTATTTTATATATGTGTCCCTGTTTTTTACTTTTAAGGTGTAATCAATTGAAAGTGAATGGCTATTTTGTATTTTCTTTTGCAATTTCACACATTTGTAAAATAACATTTATTTTTAAAGTGCTGTAAAAAGTTTCAAAATGTTAGGAACACACGTAAGACAGGACTTTGAATTCATTAAGCAATTATAGAGTCTTTAAATCAGTAAGTTTTTAAATAGTGTAATAGCTTTTATGTATTTTATAGCTCATAAACAGTAAATAACAGTGGTGTTTAAATTTAGGTAAATGTTAAATCTTTCTAGGTATGTGTACATAAGTAGCAGATTAGAATACTAAGATTAGAAGACTAAGTTTATTATATTGAATTACCACTTAAATCAATTAGTTCCATTACTGAGAATTTTCCAAAACATGTATGTTTGCAATGGAAAGAAAAAAACTTAAAATATATTTAGCTGTTACTTTCCATATTGCATAAAATTTGAATTTTATGCAATATGAAAAGCTATCCATCCAGCAGTTCCCAAAATTAGGACAAGCTGAAGGCTTACAGTATTTGTTTTGTTTGATAAATAAGAATGTATCCATTTTTTGTAACTTGCAGCACGCACATATAGTCCTGGAAATTTTGGTCTGCCACAGCCAACACCAGAACTGGTGATTCCTATTAAATAATATTTGTTGGTATCTTGGAAATAGCACACCAGAGGACCACCACTGTCTCCCTACAAAGTGAATAATAAAGATAAGTTAAGTGTTGCTGTATTGCTATTTGGAAGATTTAGCATATAATTCTATTAGTCTAAGTTATACTTGCCATGACTTATTAAATGAAAAGATTGATCATTTGGAAATATTAATACATTTGGATATCCTGAAGGGGAAATATTTGCTTTCGTTGGAACACAAGATTTAAAATTAAGCTACTTTCAATATATATACACTGATATCTTGATTGGGTAAGTTGCAGATTATTTATTCATAAGAAGATGCATTTCATTTATAAGATGAGGGCAGAATACATAGCAGTCTCTCCTATTTTTCCCACAACAGCCTTCTGAAGTAGATTTTACAACTACTGAGTAGAATAAAATGGCCCAGTGACCTTCCATAGCTGAGGTCAATCTGGAACTTGGGTCTCTCTAGTGTCAGCCCAACATCTTAGTGACTACACTACATCAAAATTTCACTATAAACTCAGCATGTTAGGGGCTTATCTACCATCAAGCATTTTTGTATACAGGTATTGAGAATTACATTGTATTTCCAAATGATCTGTTCTGAAAAGAGGTAAAGTAATCTAAATCAGAAAAAATATCTGCTATTATTACTATTATTTATTAATTTTCTATGCCACCCATCTCCCATATAAAGTGACTGGGTGGCTTACAAATTATAAAAAAGTAATTAAAATATTAAAATATTGCTTTCAGGAATTATTATTATTATTATTTAAATGACTTGGTTGACTGTTTTTTCTCTTTGTAGGCATTAACAGTCACTTTTGTAACTATTTAATGATGTTAGAAAAAAACTATCCTTTGAATTTTACTATAAAAATTAAAATAACCATTTTATGACATATAGACTGTCATCAACTTTTTTTTCCTTCCCAAACTGATTGTATTCCTCTTATTTGGGCATACTATTGTGCTTCTATTTATTAAAAATTAATAAACCAAAAGCTGTAGCTATAGAAAATAGTTTCACAATATTTTATATTGAAATAATTAACAATTTACCTGGCAACTATCAACATGTCCACTTTCAGAGCCAGCACAAACCATTTTCAGGGATACTGTGCCTCCATACCAATCGTAGCTATTACAGATTTGCAATGGAATAATGTCAACCTGAGCTTCTTGTAATATATGTTTACCTTTACCTGCAATGAAAGCATAAAATAAAGCTGGATGTATGTTTGTTTGTGTAATGTAGGGATAGGGTAGGGAATCTGGTAGGGAAAACTGATGGAATTTTGAAGGTTTTTGGACTATGGGTCAAATGTCCTGCCCCATATACTTCATACTATCACTGACAATCTTTGCAAATTTTATATAACAAATCCATGTTATTTCTTTGACTGCTACATTGTCAGTCTATTCATTTTCATCTTTTCATTACTGCAGCTTTGAGTGACAGTATTAAAGTCAAATATCACTATGGAGAATTTTAAAATGCATGTTATTTGTGCAGTAAGCTATCATCTCACAAAGCATTACACCATCATGCTAAACCATAAAATTCAAGTTTTTCTTTTCAATTTTAATTGATCATTTAGTGGTAGTAGTAGTTCCATCAATCCTGGCTAGGTAATGTCTAATAGTAAAGTATTGGCAATATACCAATAGCATAGGATGCATGGTAGTTATGTCAATGGCATGATAGTTATGCCAAAGGCATGGCTAAGAGTAACATTGTAATGATGAAAAAATGCTGGGAATCA